TCATAGACTCATGGTGCTAGATTTAGATACAAAATCATACAAAATCAAGTCCCTGTTGCGTCAAGTCATGCGTGTGTTGGCATCCAACCTAATTTGGACCCTTGCTTGCCGACCAGCATGAGATAGCCTTTCATCTCTACTTGCCCAATTCAAAATACACATGTGCAGGTACCTTGTGAGGCTTCGTGGCACGCCTCCTCACATGCTTCTCATCGACAAAATGTATCAAGCCTATCTGGCCTGGCCTATCTATCCTCGTCACACCACATGCATCAGCTCCTCCTTGCCATCAACAACTAAAGTCCCTAAAGGCAGTCCCCAAGTACCTCAGGTCCCTCCCTGTTCGCTGCATGGCACCCGAAGCACAGTGGGCTCCAACGAGTCAGTGCCCTCAGAGCTGACGGCGTCAGAGACTCGGTCTCTGAGTGGGGAGAATGAGTCGACTGGCTTGTGGGGCTTCGAGACTTTCTATGAACTTGAGAGAGGAGGGGGTGAACGAAAGGTAGCATCACAAGTAACCCTGGTGAAAGTCCATGACGGCGTCAAAGGTGGATGGATGTGACCCAAACAGCGACGGCTGGAACAGAATCCCTTCCTACAGGACCAAACTCTAGGCAAAGCACCAGGTCCTGATTGTAATACATTTTTGCTAAAGCAAGGAGACCTCAGGTAGGCCTACCTTTCGTGACAAGAAGCTACGAGTAGCAATGACGCTATTAGGTGGAGGCCATCTTACTAGTAACAAGAAGCTACTTGCAGGATCTGCAGTAGACTTGCTCTGTGCTTATGATGACACCTTGCACTTATGCCGTATGCCTGGTGTTGTGAGGGATGTTGTGAAGTGTACTTATATATGTGAACATCTCCGTCCTTGGATGGAATTTGCAGGGCAGAATTTGCAGCCACTTTGGATGAAACCAACTTGTCAAAGATTCGGCTCATCTAGTGAAGAGTCAAGTGTGGCTAGACACTACACCTAGGTTGGAGAGAGTGTGTTGAAGGCACCAACGCATTCTTACAAGGCAACGGAGACAGCTGAAGAAGATCGCAAACTAGGATCAAAATTCCATCAGTGTTGTTGAAACATCTACCAGCTTGAATGGCTTGAATATTGGAAATCATGCCCAATACATCCCAAGGCGTCCACTCTCCTTGGCCATGTGAAATTTGATTGCGGCCAAAATCAGACGGTCCAAGGGCCCTACAGGAAGCTCGAAACGGAAGTCCTCCAGCACATAGTCCTGGCTCGGCTTGCAGAATACAGCCTCCTTGATGTGCGCTCTGGAAACGATTGTGAAAACAGTTGCCACTTGCCTCTATACACCCTGCGATATGCTTGCAAATACGTCCATTTCGGGGTAAACCATGCTGTGGTCTGTGCATTCCAACCACTCGATCTGAGAAAAAAATACATCTTTCCCACACTTTATGGCACCAACATTGCCTAACAGCTTCAGCTTCTATCTCGATTACCTCAAGCCTCCTGAAATAGATGGCAAATTCTATCCGTCCAACCTTCAAGATTCACGAAGCTTCCCATTGACTAAATACATACAGTATATAAACGAGCATATCTCACTCTGGAAGTGCAAGCATCTCGAAGGCTGCCGTTGTCCAGGACACCTGAGAATTCTGAGGCTGAAAGCTTGGGACTGGAAATGATCCAACGAAGCCAACAGCTCTCTCCCCTGCTGTACCCCCAATGAGAGGATTTTGCGAAATAGTCAACGTTTATACTCAATGGCCACATGGTCCATAACCTATCGAAGTCTTCGAAGGAGCGAAGTAGCTCGAAAGCAGAAATACAGTATATCACTTGTGCACAGGCGCAAAGAACTCAACTCCTGATTATATAGAGTCATGAATCTGAACAGCACTATAAGCACCATGTCGCACAGGGCACATCTGCAGGGCCATGCTGACTGAAAGTCGGCGAACTCAATCCTACCCCCTTAGCGACTAGGAGGCCAACTGGGAGCACCGCCACATGCCAGCATCTGGCCGACAAAGAAGCACGGCGAAGATGCTACAAGATCACAAAGAAGTGAAAATAACGAAGAAATGAATCAGTGTGTTATATGTAATGAATACTGTAAAGGAAAAAACACAAATATGCAAAGGAGGACGAAATCAAAGGAGACATATTATACATATATATATATATAGACCTGCGCAGCCGCCTCCAAACGTCGTTCCATCGCGTTGGCTTGGGGGCCATTCTGCAGGTACCGGCCTCAACTTGCTAAAGATGCAGTAAGGTTTCCAACACGTCTTTCGGTCTTTTCTCAGTCCAATCTTGTCAGGGGTCCCACAACTCCTAACCTGCACGCAACAGTTCAAACAAAACCCACAACAGTTCCCAGCCCAGAATCAGAATAGACAAAACAAAACAGTACAAGCAAAACCAAACAATGATTTTCTATGCGAATGTGTTCCTGAGCGGCATTGCGTGGGCATTCCGGCCATATCTGAGGTCCCTGCTCGGCGGGCACACAGCCAAGCATCTCAGCGCCTACACACACAAATCTACAGAGAGCAATGATAGACATGCATTTGGCGGATTTCAGGTGTTCCAACATGGACTGTGCGGCCACTGTTCTATAGTTTGCGCTTGGGATGGCACATTAATGTCTCCAAATGACAAGCGAAGCAGTTTTCTAGGCTACAGTATGGCAAATCACCAAGGGCAGGAGGGCTTGTCACTATTCTGCTCCTTACTGTTCAGCACAGCTTGTCAGCCGCAGGACTTTCTAGCAAAAGATCACTGTGTTAGGCTCAGATCTCCCTTGGCGTGCTAAAGCAAGAACAAACTCAGCTAGCAATTGCTAGCTTTCGACTTGTCCTCTCGCAGTTTCAGTAGTTCCTGTTCCTGTGCGTTGCTGCGGCTTTTCCGAGCTCGGCACCCCAAGAAGCACTTTGAGCTCTGTGCCTAAAGGCAAAACAGCTGGGTTTCTTTTGCACTGAGCCCCTGACGCCAAAATTGTTCCTTTAAGGTCAGCACCATGCACTGCACTCAGCAGCAGATCTCGTAGTCTTTCAACAGGACCTGGTCATTTGAGGAATCAGGGAGTAGTGGCGAAGCAACAATTGAGGAGGGTCTTCAAAAAACGACATGTAGAGTTCAAGGTTGCCACATCTGACCCCATCCTGATCTGTGTGAAGACAACCAGCGAATTTAGTGACTATGTAGCCCCTGGATGCTTCATTGCGTCATGCTCCAGCTATATGTAGATTAAGAGATTGCAAGTTCAGACCCATGTTCACATTGCCAAAGCCAACTTAACAGTGGACACAACTCAGATGTTTAAGTTTGTAGGACCTCCAAACTGCGATGTGATCGTCCTCCTCCCATTCCCCAGCACTGAACATGCCAAGCCTTTCAGCTCCGGATGTGATGACACCACGTCATAGAGGACTCGTAGAACCTCCACAGCCAGACTGGGCAAGTCGAATCGGCGTGAAGCCCATGTAAAGGCTGATAGGAAGAGTGAGGCTTGAAGCTTTTACTTGATCCTGTGCGATTGAATAAATTGGCAAAATCTTGGATTCAGGCAACTCCAGGAGCTTAGAGGCTTAGTCGTGTTGAACCGTGACCCAACTTGCCACCAGCTAGCCACCTAGAACCCAAGAACCAACCCGTGTGGCTTGCCAGCAGCTAGCAAGCTCACCACCCCCGACCTCACAGAGCAACTCTTCATCGACACCGGAGTCCACTGCAGCCTCAGGTTTATGCGCATCACGCTGAATGTGAGGGGACTTTGCAGATCGAGAGTTTGCCAAGTCTTTCATGTTTTAGACCGCGGGGTGGGGGGTACGCCGAGGTAGCTAGTAGAGACTAGGTAGCCACTAGTTTACGTAAGCTACTACCTAGGGGGAGCTTCCTTGAAGAAGCGCTCGCATTAATGATTTGGTTTCTAGATATTTAGGAAAACACTGTTCTTAGCCCTTTGATACATTATTGTTCTGGTCGAATGCAGCTTCTAGAGAAAAAGCAGCTTGGTCTGCGGTGGATTGCAGTTCCACACGCGCAGTACACGAAAGTGTTCAGTGAATAGGGTTTTATTACATTGTGCAAAACCTGTTCATGTCTTGGCCCATTAGCTTTGGGCCACCTCGAAGCGCAAACCTTCCACCCAAAGAGCGTCAAACGCAAAGACCCCTCAGACCCACCAAGCTCGCCACCGCCAGGATCTGGTCACAGCGGTTCATTAGCGGCTGCCAAGAGGTCGCCACCTCACAACTCACGTGGAGCATTGCTTGGACTAGAGGTCGATTACGCTGGATTATATATCCAGGGCCCAAAGACCGAAACATAGCATGAATAGCGAACCTGATAACCCTGATCAAACCTGCCAAGAGCATCTGGCTGTGTCTCCAGACCATCCGCTCCCAGCTCAAGACTTTCAACTGCCGCAGGTGTCCCAATAGCTCATCCTTCGGCAACTGGATGACTGTAATTTCAGAGTTATATAAGTGAAGCATGTGGAAACTGAGACAAATGTATTCTGCATAGTGCAAAGCAAGTGCAAAGCAGGACAATTCCTGCGATTACACCTATCCTCAACTTGATGGTGACCGCCCAGACCTCGGTCAATGCCACAGTAGCTAGAATGGCACATAAACAGTTTGGTTGAGGGCCAAGCAGCTAGGGCACTAATCACTAATCTTTAAGAAACAGTCGGGGTGTGCCAGCCACCTAATTTTTCCCAAAAGGCCCAGGGCAAACCAGGAACAGCACCTCATGGCCTTTCTTATCTTCTTGGCTCCGCTGCTCATCGTTCACTGCTTTCTAAAGAGGTTCGCTTCTGAACTTGTGCCACCCCTGCAACTCCGCAGTCCTGTGGGCAACTCGCCAACTGCTCCAAGGCACACTGCTGCGAGATTGGCCTTAAAGTAGCATCGAATCATCAAGGTCCAACTACTGGGCGTTCCATCTTTCACCTAAAGAAAATAGTGGAACAATGTGAAAGCAAGGTCGGACCAGTTCATCGTACTCTTTTCCCAAAGGCATTCAAACGGTGTCTGTGCGCGACTCCTTCCTGATGCATATCTTTGCTGCCCAGAAGGGTGCGTCTTGGGACCATAAAGTCAGCGAGCCAACAAATGATCTCAGTCAAGTAAATGGAAGACGATTCAAAGAATTTGCTGTCTCAGCTCGATCAGAGGGTCCTTCTTGTAGCCAGCGTCCTTCATGCCAGGTATGAACAGGTTCATTTGTATGATGACAAAAGCAAGACTCACCATGGACAAAAACAATGATCCTATCATTCCACGCCGCTAAATTAGCCGCTGAATAAATCAGGGTCTAGCCAATCCCCACAGTCAATGGTGAAGCTCCGCTGCGGCACTCAACATCTATGCACTCCTTGAAAGGTGCTTGTACTAAGTAGAGAAAAGTGCCCTTTATCACCAACAAACTGCGGAATGAACCCAATCACCTGCAATGAATTCTCACACACATGTATCGAAATGGCACGAGTCGACGCCCCGATCCAGCGGTTCGATGTCCTCCCAGCTCAAAGCCGTGAGATCGGAGCATCTGCCCAGGAGATCTGAGGTGCAAAGAAACCAGTGTGGAGGAGGCACCCGGTGCCCATCTCTCACTCAGAAAGGGTAACTGTTGTTCAACTGCTGCCGAGTTACAGTTTCTGTTGTATGTCTCTTTACCTGAACTTAGACTAACACAAAACTTAGTCTTCCAGTCTTTCAGTCTCTTTCGACTCTTTCGACGGCCTCTGGAACGACCAAGTGATTCCACTCACTGGCAGGCTCGAACGGCAACTGGAGGCAACCGGACAGAAGCCTGGGACGCCAGGCTCTCCAACTCTGCACATCCAGCGATTGGTCGTGTTGGTCATGTTGTTTCATTGAAAGGGCATTGGAGTTGGGAATTCGTTAAGGGTTTGTCAAACATTGCCCATGACGGTCATAAGATCCGCCTCAAAGCCTCAGAGACCAAGAAAGAATCCTCTTCACTTAGGGCTCATCATTTTCCAAGATGCAAAGCTTCAGAGAATGTAGAAGTTCAACCTACTCAACTGCAACCAGGGTGCTTCACCTTGGCAGCACAGGAATAACAAACATGTCTCAAAAGCAGGATGAAGTTTTGCGGACTTCATGCGCAATCGATCGTCAACAGGCATGGAGAAAGGCACGGCAACCTGCGTTTGCTGTTAGTGTTTGATTATGCGCCACCACATTCCCAACATCATCGTCGTCGTCGTCGTCATCATCGTCGTCATCATATGTTTTCCTTCCTGACGCACATCGGTCTCGATGTCTGCGTGGACCTTGCCACATGAGAGGTCCGCCTGGTGCTCCGTAGAGCCAAATCCACCCCTCTATATCCAAATGTCTTGTCGAGCAGCTGGGCCAGCGTCGTTTGTCTGGCAGCGCGCTGCTGCTGACCACGAAGAGCTAAATGCAAAATTGCGAACTGTCTCACACAAGGGCACTGGTGTTCCTGCAAGCACAAAATCTCATTGGAGGAGCTTTGGACATGAACTGAATGGTGCACTGCTCTGCAAACTTCTCTGATTCACTCCAGAGCGTCCGGTGTGCAGTTTCCAAGTGGGAATTTACGTCCTTTGGACTCGTCCCGCTCATGATGCAGCGTTTCGTCAGCCTGTGGCAGAGAGGTGGATGATCAGATCAAGAGCTTGATGTCCAGGTCCAACGCCTGCAGCCAAGTACGATGCCATCCATCATGAATGGAGGGGTCCAAAAGGATATTCTGAAGCTTGTCGTGGTGGGAGATGATGGGGAATTCTTCCTCCATCTTTGAGATATCCTCGGCGCCTCCATGGGGTCCACATGAAAGCCACAAGAGGCATACATTCTCCTGCGCCAGCTGGGGAAGAGAGACTGGGCCCTTATCGTCGTCATAGATCCACCATATATGCCCTCTTCCAAAATGGCGGAGCAGTGGTGGCCCGTTGATCAAAGTGATCATGGATGTCCTGTACATCTACATGTTTGCGGGGCCAAAAGCTCGTTGAGTGCAGATCTCCAACGCCTTTTGACCGCATCGAACATGGACTTCATGCCCTGGTAGATCCTGCAGACCTCACGCGCATCCAAATCGATCGCTTCGACTCTAGGCAAAGAAAAGTCACACCAGAGTGCACTGGGGCGCCAAATTTTTTCCCTACTTCATGGAGCCCGGACTCCCATCGACAGGCTGTGGAACAGAAGATTCAAAAGGGAGAGAAGATGATGAGCAAAGTCAACAACATCATGCTGCCGGAAAGGTTCCCGCCAGTCAGTGGGCAAAGTGGTCCATTGACCACAAAAGAATGGACTGCTGCCTGTCCTCACGGTCTGCAATTTGCTTGAAAACCCCTGGACAGTTGGACCAAAGGTCCTCGCGCAGGCCATTTGCCTGCAGGGCGCTCCAAACAAGCCCGCGACCACCGAGTTCATGTAGCACGCTGCAGAAGTACGAAGTGGTGGAAGGCCATCCGGCTTCACAAGGAGTCCAGCATCCTTCCCAGGTGTTGGGCAAGGGGTGTCCAATGTTGAGTGGCCGGCCCCAATTTGGCAAGGAGGCCGGTGTGGTTTTTTGTCGCCACAATCCCCTCATTTCTGAAGAGTACCAAAGGTCACTCTCCAAGGGATCACTGCCGAGGGCTTGTTGGTGTCTGCGGTCATCATCTTCTGGATCTGCTGATGCGGCCTGAGAGCACCGAACCTCTTGATGAGTGGCTCTTGAAGAAGTGTCAAGATCCTTTGCAGTGTCTGGATGGCCAAAGAGGTGGCCACTGGAGCGTCCTGCTGTGGGGTCATTTCTTGTTGGTCGTGATCCCACATCATCCTGGGAAAGACATAAGTGTCGGTCTTGTTCTCCTCGAACTGCAGGAAGCCCAGGTGCAGCAATGTTTGGATCAAGGGATCGGAGGAGGCTGTGGGTTGTAGCTTCTGAACTCTTGTCAGCAGTTCCTCCAGCATAGTCTTCAGCGCCAGAATCCTCAAGGGGTGGCTCCTTTCCGCCGTCAAAAAACCGAAGAAGTCCGTCTCCAGCCAGTCCGGTGATGGGGAAGCGTGTCCAAATCAGGAGCTTCCTCGTCCATCGCGGGAAGTGGGCGGAGAAGTGGGCGTGAGTCAGAGTACAGGTGTTTGGAAGTAAATGGCTGCGGAGAATGCAACAACCAAGAGTGAAAGCAAGGAAAACCAAAAGTGTGGCGAAGTAACTGGGTTTGGTGACACTGGAGGCGGCGCCATTTTTCATGGCCTGAAGCGATTGTCAAAATGCAAAGGCAACTTGGCTAAAGATGTATGTTTGAAAGAGGCTTGGGTGAGAATCACCAGTCACCCGGAAAAGGTCGCCAGTCAGTAGTGGATGGCCCTGAATCCATAGAGTCCAGAGTAGCAGCGGAAGTGGAGACGGTCGACAGGTGTTGGTGGAGCGGTCCACGCTGGCCGGTGGCTGTTGCTGGGTAGCCAGGCATTGGGCGGCGAATCACCAGATTGCTTGTAAGTGCCTGGAGGAGGTTGTTTGTGTCTGGTATGGATTCTTCCTTCTTGGTCTGGATCTTCCCGGACCTTTGTTTCCTTTTCCTTTGCCCCGGCCCTTCTCTCCATTCGACATGGTGGACCTTGGCCTCTTGGTCCCGTGACTTTCATCTCGATCCACCTCCATCCACTCGTTGAGGGCTCGCCCTCCGTGGCCATGATGCAAGAGTGCAAGAAGAGCGGAGAGTTGGAGCAGAACTGGGCACTGAGCTGCCAGCTCCGGATGGCAGTGGTCCCCGCCGCAGTCAACCGCCGGAGTCAACCGCCAGCTCCGGACGGCAGTGTTCCCCGCCGGACTCAACCGCGAGCTCCGGCGGGCACTGTTCCCCGCCGGACCTCAACCGCGAGCTTCGGCTGGTAGTGTTCCCCACCGGACCTCGACCTCAAGAATGTCAGAAGATATACCAGATATGCCAGAAAGACCGTTAGGAAGAATGTCAGAAGATATGCCGACATAATGTATTAACGCATGCCAGAAAATTGGTCAGATTGACATGTCACGTGTTCTCATTACGTTCATATTATAGTGGATTGAAATGTCATGGTGGTGGTTTTTCAAAGTGAAGTAACTTCTTCTCTTCTCTGGTCTCTGTCCAGTTCTACAAAGGCCGGTTTCTGACAGAACAATTCTTACCTGTTGTGCCTGCCCTTCTGACTGTCGATGATTTTCCAACTTCGTTGGATGATCAGTATGGCCTCTATGCTGCCCAGTGGCTGTGCCAGCTTCAAGTCGTTGGGCCTCGCTCAGCTTCTCTCCAGTGCCCAGGTTCCGGAACCATCGAGGATGCGCAGCGGAGCAGATCCTTGGACTCTTAAACAGCTTGATTCGGCTTGATGATACTTGCCCAACTTGGCCTAGGAGTTGGAGGGTCTCAAGATGTGGTGAGTGGTGTGCTGACCATTGAGTTGACCCACAATATTTTGCATCAAGCAGCTGCAATCGAACTCGCTCCCCTGGCCGAAAAAGCACCGCTGTGTGACCCATCGACACCTCCACCCGCTCAAACTCGCCCCCTGAGCGCACCTCGGGCCAGACGGGTTCCCTCGAAGGGATTGTGAAGATTTGAGACAACGAGTCGTATAGAGTTTGCTAATATATGTTAGTATATTTCAGTATATGTGTCAAATATATGTTTCTAGTGCTTTCTCTGTGCGTTTGCCCTTTAACGCCCGGTGGGGGGAGGCCGGAAGGGTCGCTACCAGCAGCTTTAGTAGCTTCTTTAGGCTTGGACGCGGGCTAAGGCTCTGGCTTAATGATTTGGTTTCTAGACGTGCTGGGAAAATGCAATCAGGGTGGCCAAGCCCAAGAGTTCTCCGTTTCCAGAAGCCTGAGCCTCCAGGGGTTGTGGGAAATGAATGTAGATGAGCAGACCCTCTTTCTGTTGGTCAGGCGGCAGCATCTCCACACCAAGGTTTGCTGACTTCACATGATTTGAACAGCTGAACAAAGGAAAAGAGAGAAGCGCCATGGAGAAAGAAATCAAAGAGGTTAAGCAGCATCAGGAGTACAATGTCCTTAAAACGAAAGTAAATGGCATCGGAAAAAGTTTCAAAAAGACATGGACGCGCAGAATCACTGCTGAAAAGTGTTAGTAAAGGACAGCATATGTGCGATGCAAAGGCTAGTGCTTTCAAGGCTTTACTCAACATAAGGTCAGGTCTTTGGTTTTCCTCAGCCCTCGCATCCACTCAGTCTTGGGGTCATCCCACCCTCCTTAGACAAAAATAGACGGACTGAGGAAAAGAAAGACAAGTGTCAACACGTCTAGCCCTTGTTCGTATTGAGCTCGAAGGTTCCGTTCATGGAAGGTAAGCTTCCAATTTAGCCAGTCTGGAACCCTAGCACCCTTCAAAAGTCCAAGACCATCAATTAGTAGATATGAGAAAATGGACAAGGCCATCACAGAAACTGACACGGCGAAGTCTGGAGCTGCCCAAAAGTGGCCATATTGAAATGGAAATGAAACACCCCACAACAAGGGAAACGAACCCGGTTACAGTTACAGCGCAGCTTTGAACTGAGGCACTGTGACGCTGGTGAGGCCCTCACAAAGGTTGGTGGAGCGCCCATCCTCGGAGTTGGTCTTTCTCAACCGCAAGAGCCCTCCCTTGCAATATGTGAGTTCGATTTTGATAGCTTCAAGAAGCACTCCGAAAATGGTCAGTACAAGCGACGAAAGATCAAACAGGCCTCCAAACTCCAAACGTCCACGAAACACCTGTACACAGAGACACGACATGCCAAGAGATCAACCCAAGTGTCCACATCCACATGACAAAGTCGGCCCACGAAGTCTGCCTTCTCCGTCTGCCACGTTGCCTATCAGTGGAACTTGGGTTAGGACTACTGCATGATGTGTTGCATTTGATCCATTACACAATGTTTAAAAAAACAGAGGGTTTTTGTGGGCACTTTTATGCGCAAAACATACAATGTCAAGTGTGATCTCAATCATAGCATGCCTGCAGTACTGGCGATTTTCTAACGAAGCTGACTGGCCTTTTTGTCCTTCCACAATGTTCGCGACGCTTCAAATTTTATATATATATATATACATATACTTATATATGACGCCACAGACACGATCCGTCACCCAGATTGAAAACCAAGGCCTCCAATTCAAGATGTACAGGGCCCACCACCAGCAAGGGCTCACGTAGCACTGCGCTGGAGTATACCAGGACGTCAGGCCGTGCCTCGCCACGAAAGCTATGACACTCCTACTGGGTCAACAAATACCATTTATTCAAATTTATTCAATGCGGCCTTCAAGTTATCTTCTGCCGTGTGGGGTTTACTGAGTATTTGTCTGGGTCAAGGCCCAAAGAAAAATGACAAGGTTCGGTGTTCGCAATCCGACTCAAACATTTGCACACAAACTTAGACCATTGCTCGCAAGAGCTCTGTCAGTTGCGACATCCCCGTGTGTTAGTTACTGGTTACATTAGACCTTGACTCGCAGGAACAGCAAGGTGGAGGGTCAGTTCACTTGTAATGTTTTCAACAAAACGCATTAGCCCTTTACCGCATTTGCACTTTAAGGTGGATTAAACAATTCTTGCAGGTACGTTCAGAGAGCGCCCTCTCCGAATATCACATCCGATCAACAGCGTCTTTGTTAGGCAGTGGCTGTTGAAAAGATCACTGCCCCCCTGCCTGCTGTACATGGAAAGTCGATGCTTGAATTAAGGGGAAGAGCACTGTGGTCGTTTCCTTTGGAACAGGAATTGACACACACTTATGGATATGCGTACGGACTTGACAGCGGTGCCACACGCCGGCCTAGGGTACCAATTCCTAAGAATACAAGTAAGAACCACTGGGGCCTGAAAATCTTCAAGAGGAAGTGGGGCCCAAGTCTCAAGGCCGAAGGCGGCGATCAGGGCGATATGACGACGTACGCTCACATCTGCAGGTGCATTAGCACTTTACCAAAAGATGAAAATTCGCAAGAACGTCCAGCAAGACTCAAAACATGAAACGCGAGTAGCGATTAGTAACAGAACCACATGAACCACCATGAAAGCAAACCACAGCGAGAACAACAGGTAACCAGTTTGGCAGGTACGTTTACACGGGCCCCAGAGGAGGTCTTCGTTGGCCACCGCTCCTCTGGGGCCCCGGTGGCCCCCTGCTGAAGTAAAGAGAAACAATTCAACGGAATCCCTGTGACTACAAGGGGCACACACACACACGCCTCCCCAAAGGGAGGCATCTTTTGCTGAGCGTCGAGCCGGAAGGTTGAGTGAAACTAGTTAAATTGTCGAAGTTCTCGGTAGGTCTGATACGCCGTGCGTATTGCAGGTGCGGACAAAGTAGTAGTAAGGCCAGGAACCTCTAGTAGCGTCAAAGTAGCAACCTAGCACCCAGTAGGAAGGCCAGGAGCCCCTAGTAGCATCCCAAGCTGAGGTCCCGACAGGAGGAAGGGGTAGGGAGAGACGAGAAAAAGGCAAGAGCAGAAAGGAAGGTGTTCCCAGCTACGACGCATGCGTCCAAGGACACACCGAAGGAAGAGGGGAGAAAGGGTTCCCAGCTATGACAAAAGCATCCAGGGACACCCAAGGAGGAAGGAAGGTGAAGAAAGAAAGAAAGAAAGAAAGA